TCGGAGCTCCCCATGTCACAGAAGCGGTCATTGAAAACTTTACCAACCTGTCCCTGAGCCACAAAACAAATCACAAGAAATTGAAGAGAAAGAAAGCCATACAGAAAGTGTGTTGTCCTGGGAGAGTGGAATCCAACTAGAAATAATTAACAGAAAGACAACAGGAAAATCTCTAAATGTGGATATTATATAACACATCCCCAATGACTGCGTGGCTACAAGAGGAAGTCTCCAGTGAAATTAAAGACCAGCAAGTGAAAAGACTGGGAACACAACAGAACGAAGCACGTGGGCTGCAGCCAGCGCAGGAAGAGGAATTTATAACACTGCGTACCTTCATCAGCATCTCACCCTGAGTTTCCACCTCAAGAAACCAGGAAAAGAAGAGCAACGCATGTCCAAAGCAAAGCAAAGAGGGAGCCAGGGAAAATGAGAACATCAAAGAAACGAAAGGTTCCTTCTTCAGTCAGTAAAATAAAGAGGCCCCTGACAAAAATACAGAGAGGACACAAGTCATCAATATCAGCAAAAAAAGAAGAAAAAAACCGACTGTCCCTACACTCCCAGGCACTGAAAAGACAAGGTCACAGATGCTTGTACGCTCATAAATACCGTAAGTTACAAAGGATGAACAAATTCTTCAAAGACTACAACTATCAAAGCATGTAAAAAGTAAAATGGATTCGAGGCTATGGCCAAGTGGGATAGACCCAGAAATGTTTGACAAGGAAGTCAAGGACTATCAGTTATCCTCTTAGCAAGCTAAAAAAGAAAGTCACCTACTGGTTGGTGGGAACACTAGTAGCATTACCCACTAGCTGATTTTGAGAATGAGTTACATTCATGCATGTGTCTGACTCTTCGTGGCTACTTAACAAATCTGTTAGCTATTTTTATATGCCCTGAATTACAATTCTTATAGGAGCCTAATTCTGTTTTCTGGAGAGAGAGGAAGTAAATGATTTTTTCCTCTGTGTTGCTGGATTTTGTTAGCTGAATTTTGTTGAGAACTGTTGTGACTATATGCATAAGATGTCTTATCCTATAGTTTTATTCTGTTTTGCTATCTTTGTATGCTTTTAGCCTCGTGATAAAATTAGCCTCATAGAAGGAACTAGAAAGTGTATTCTCCTCATATATTTTAGAAAAGTTTGTGGAAGACTGTTAATTCTCCTGCAGATGTTTGGTCAAATTCCCCACTGAGCCATCTAATACTTGGCCTTTGTTGGGAGATGCTAATTAATCACTAATCTGTCTCTTTATGCATTAAAGAGCTATTTGGATTTTCTATTTCTTCGTGAGTCATCTTCCATAATGCATATCTGGCTGGGATTTTACTATTTCACCAAGATAATCTTTTTTTGGCATAAAACCACCACAGTATTCTTTGATGATTTTGTAAAATCGTTAGTCATGTTCTTTCATTCCTAATATTAATCATCTGATTCTTCCCTCTTACAGCTTTGGTCAGTATAACTGAAATTTCCTCAATTATATCGATCTTTTGAAGAATTAACATTTGATTTTCTCTAATGAGTTGTTTATCTCTGTTTCACTTATCTCTATTCCAATTGACACTATTCTCTCTCTTCTGCATTTTGGGTTTCATTTATTTGTCTTTCTTAATTTTTAAGGCAGAAGTTTGGTTATTGATTTATGGTTTCTAATGTGGGCCTCACCTCTATCCCATCAATTTTGATATATTGTGGTTCTCAGTGTGTTTCACAATTGCCCTGCAATTCCTTCTTTGATCCATTGGCTATATAGAATAGTGTCATTAGTTGTCACATTATTGTGAATTTCCCTAACTGTCCCTTCTGCTGTGATTTCTAGTTTTACCTCACCGTGTTGCAGGATGCACGTGGTATGATTTCACCCCTAAGCAATGTCTGAGGCTTTTCATTGCTGGCCTGTGCTCTACTGGAGAATGTTCCGTGGAGTTTGGCATGTGCATTCTGTCATTCCTGGGTTGAGTTGGCCTTCAGTATGGGTGATTCTTCTGTTTCCCTGTTGATCTATTATGCTATCCATTCCTTGGAGTGGAGTCTGTGTCTAACTATTGCTTTGGTATCTTATTTCTTATTTCAGTTCTTTTAGATTTTGCTCCATGTATTTGGGATTCTATTATTAGGTGCACATAAATTTATAAATTTTATGTCTTCTTCATGAGTTGACATTTTTATAAATACAAAATTATAAAATGTTCTCCTTAGTCACTAGTAACAATTTTTGCCTTAAAGTCTACTTTGTCTTTAACCACAAGATAGCTTTCTTGTGGTTAGTTTGCATAATATAAATTTTCCTATATTTTTCTTTCACTATTTTTGACTTTTAAACTTAAAGCATGTCTCTAAAGAGGGTCTAATTGGCTTATTGGTTTTTAAAAATCTATTTTGCCACTGTCTATCTATTAATGAAATGGTTAAATTATTTATATGCATTTAGTTACAAGATTTAAGTGCCCTTTTTCCATTTATATTTCAGATTTCTGTCTTTTTTATTCCTCTACTCCCTGCTGTATTACCTTTTTGGTGTTAAATATTATTCTATCATGCCATTTCATTCTTTGTGAATTTCATTTTACTATATTTTTGTTACTTTTTTAGTGAGCCTCAGGAACTTAAAATTAACATGTTAATTTAAAACCACATAGCTTGCATTTGCAAAGATGAAAAAGTTTAGGAAGATGTAACAGATGGTGGTAATAGCTGTGTAACACTATGAACTCACTCCATATCACCAAATGTCACCAGTTGGAATTAGTATGCAGGGGCTACACTCCATCTCCTGGTTTGCTGCATTGCTCTGTTGGTTGGTTTAGTGACCTTTCTGCAGTCTACACGCCAAGGGTGCAGCCGCGATGCTACTCCTTTAGCTGGATCAGCTGAAGGCAGCCCTCAGATTTCCTTAAATAGCCAGCCAAGCCAATAGAACCAGCCAAGTCTTCAGGTGCTGCGAGCTGAGCACTACTGGTCTCCCTCAGCCCTCACTATCTGGTGCAGAGCACCCCAAGGTCAGCCAGGGGCGCAGGAAGCGAGGTCCTCCACGGGTCTGTCCAGCACGTGGCTCTCCCTGCCCGGGTACGTGGCCTCACACATTCCCAGAAGCAGGGCAGAGGTTTTCAAAGCCACTTACAGACATCTCAGAGTTTCTTTTGAAATTTTTTGGCTCACTTCATGTTTCTTGAACTATTGTTCCTATTTCAGGCATCCTGGATCTTAAACAATTATAATCCTTTTTTTTCTAACAAATGCTCCAGGGACAGGATTTTGTGCATTGAGCAACCCTCGAATAGGGGCAAAGGTAATCGGAGTGAGCGGGACTTTTTAAGATAGTTCAGTGATAGTGGTGCTTCGTGAATGAGGCTTTCTAGGAGCTCACAACCCTTCTTTCCAGCCTATTAAGTTCTTTTCCACATCTACCATGGCCCAGTGGCTCCTACTTCTCAAGGCTCACGGGAATAGGACGAATGAAAACACCCCAAACCTTGCTGTTCTCATTGAGATTCAGACCATTTTTTCCCTTGAATAAATGCCCCTTGGGTAGTTTCAAGTCTTTGGTTAATTTCCAAAGATCTGAAAAAGTTAATTTTAACATAGTTTGCCCGTGTTCTAGTTGTTTCTAAGAGGAGACCCTTTCTTCACCAATCTGGAGGAGAAACTTCCCATGAAGTCTGTTCTATAATAATAGGTTTGCTAATTTATCAGGAGGACATTAAAATCATTAATATGAGTTTAGAAATAGAGGAGACAAAATTGAAAGAGCGAAGGGAATTATAGAAAAATTCACAGTAATACTTGAGGCTTTCTAAAACTGTCTTCTCAGTAATTGACAATATGAGAGGATAAAATATCACGAAGGATATTTTGAACAACTTGGAAAATTAAAAATACATTTTTCTGTTGGATTTTATAGGATGCTATCTCCATCAGTTGCAGAATACATGTTGTTGAAAAGTCTACATGGATCTGGGCATAGCAATGCACGCCTGTAATCCCAGCACTTGGGAGGCTGAGGCAGGAGGATTGCCGAGAGTTCAAGGCTAGCCTGGAATATACAGTGAGATACTGACTCAGGAAAAAAAAAGTCCACATGAAACATTCATCAAAAGATACTGTTTGCTGGGCCCCAACCATCAACACGTTTATAAGAGTTAGAACAACAAAATATCTAACTACAGCAGAATTGAGCTATACAAGAAAAGAATTTAGAAAACTTCCAAAATAGTTGACAATTAAACAACATTTAAATAAAACAACTTGTGAATTAAAGAAGAAATCATGAGGTAAGAGAAATCAGAAAATGTTTGAATTTTTATAATTGAAAATTCAACATATGCATGTCACAAGATGAACAAAAGCAGTGATTAGAACAGAATTGTTAGCCTTAAATATTTGTGTTGGGAGAAAAGGAAAATGCAAAACTGACTGTCTTTAGAAAGCTGCAAAAAGGAGAAGAGTAAACAAAAGCCAAAGTGATAGAAGGAAAAAAGAAAAAGCCAAAAATCAATGAAATTCAAAAATACACATAGTGCAGAAAACTAACAAAGCTAAGATTTGCGTCAAGATGAATAAAATTAGTAAATTCCTGAGACTAAAAAAAAAGAGGATTACACAAGTGACCAACACCATGAATAACAAAGAGACTGTCACTATAAATCCTAAAAGGATAATAAGAGAAATTAATGAATAATATTATGCCATTAAGTCTGACAACTTGATGGAGACAAATTCTATAAAAAAAAAAAAATACAACTTGCCAAAACCAACAAGAGATAAAATAGGAAACCTGCATACTCCCGTGTATATTTAAAAACTTGAATTCATTGTCAAAAATTTCCCACGAGGAGCTCTCTGAGCCTGGATAGATTCGCAGATACAGACTGTGTAAAACTCAAGAAAAGAATACCAACCTTACACAAACTCTTTTAGAAACCGAAAGTGGGAACACCTCCAAGTGGCTAAGGCTGGTGTAACCTTGATAGCAAAACCAAACAGAGATGTTACAAGAAAAGGAAACTGCAGGTTTCTAAAGATACAGACCCAAAATTCTTCACAAGTTTGAACAACATGGGTCTAACATCTGGGGACTTCAGGCACTGGTCTTCAGACGACACTGTATGCCATGTATCAAGGAGAACAGAAGCCAAGGACCCACAGCGGCAGCCATGGCAGCGAGTGAGGAGGAGAGCAGTCCTCAGGGACCAGGCACTAACAGGTACAGGGTAGAGGCCCCTGGGAAGGAGGAAGCAGCCTCCAGGGACATCAGAAATGGCTGTGTTGGTTGGCTTTCTGTTACTGCAATACAATAGTTGAGGTAAGTGACACAAAGATAAAGGTTTACTTTGAGGTTCCTGCCCACAATCAAGCAGATCCTTTGTTCTAGGGCTCTGGAGAGGGCAGCAGGTAATGGTGGGAGCAGGATTCAGGAAGAGGATGGGCCGGGGCCCCATGCTCTCTCTCGAGGGCCTGACACCATGGGCCTCTCTTCTTCCCTTGGATCCCTCCTGAAGGGCTCACCCAGTTCTAAGACACTAAGCTGAGTACTGAGCTTTTAGTACAGGGGGCTTCAGGGAGACTAAGCCAAATGTATGCTTCAGAAAGTGGCCACTCTAGAAACAGAAGGATGTGGCCCTGAGGCCAGGAGGAACATGGCGGCTTGGAGGACGGGAACACTCAGCCTATCAGGAGGAAGGAGGTGGTCACTGCATGGGGGAAGTGATAGCAGTGTTACAACATGAGGGAGGTCACCCTATGTCCTTCTTGAGGCCAAGGAGAGGCACAGGGTTTACACAGAGGGAGGACGGGTGACATTTATATTCCTCAGGCCCTCCAGTGGGGGTGGAAAAGAAATGGGTGAGGACAGAAGCAGGGCAGGGCCAGGAGACAGCATCACAGTCCAGATGAGAGAGGGACTCAGGGTCAGAACACAGTCCACACCTGTAGGACAGCACCATGAGGACAGGAGCCAGCCGTGGGTGATGGAAGGACACAGGCCACACACGATTCAGGCACAGGGTTGCTACGTCATAGTGCCTTACACTCTGGCCCTCACTGATTCATAGTCTACCCATGGCTGTGGGCCATTTTGGGAGGGCTTGAGAGTGCATGTGAGGGTCCCCCTGCAGGTTAGGGTGGCACAGGTGGCAGTGAGCACTGAGGCCAAGCCCTGAGGTGGGAAGGGTGCTTCCTATTGGATGGGTGGCCAGGCGTGATGGCGGCGAGCAGTTGTGAGGTGGACAGGAAGGCCAACCCCTCCATCTCCCTGACAGCCATTGAAGGTCATGACCACGATGGAGCTGTCACAGCCTCCTCAATCCAGGCCCTGCCACGGTCTCTCAGGAGCAGCTGGGAAATCATGCGGACAGCGAAGATCGGGAAGCAGCAGCCCCGTGGCTGATAACCCTGAATTCACTCCTTAGCCCCCGTAAGCCACGGTCACACTGTGGTTCCTCCTGGGGAGGCCACGAAAGTCACAGCAGCAACAGGCTTAGCCCAACAGCTGTGTGGAAGTGAAGGAGCTGTCCATGAAGCAGCCCCTTTCTGGGTTCCCCTGTGCCTGTGTGCTAGATGTCCTAGGACTCGCTGGAGATAGCAACCGAGCTGCAGGACCTGGCCCACCCTGCCACCTTCCAGAAGTCCTCCAGAGGTCCAAAATACAGGCAGTGTGCTCAGGACTGCTCCTGCTCTCTACAAGTAGCACCCTCGTGGCCTCAGGGTCAGAGGAGCAGAGGCCCTCTGGTTCACACTTGGGCTGAATGAGCCTTGAAAAAGGCTGATGGGTGGGGAGGGCAGAGGTGGATGCGGGAGTGTGGCTTGGACACACTCTGGTTACCAGCTGTGAAGAGTTCCCAGATGTGCAGAGCCTGGGCCCAAAGCTGCCACCACTGAGGGGAGAGCTGAAGCCACGGCTTGCAACCTGAGGCTGTCTGTGAGGCTGTGGCAGGGCCTTGAGGGGCCATCACGACTGCAGAAATCCAGGGTGGAGGCTGGCGGGGTAGCTCAGAGCCCCTGGGGGCAGTGACACTAAGGACCATAACACCAGGAGCTGTGGTCCCAAGAGCCAGGAGCCACAAGCACACAAAGCCCAGGGCCACTGAGCTCAGGGAGCAGCCCTTACCAATGGGAAGCTCTGTCCAGTGAACAGAAGGATCCCAGTAATGAGTCACAGAAGGGTTGTGGGGAGACAATGTTCACAACCATGCTGACTTCCTGTTGTCTGAGAGCAAGGTGGCAGAGGTGACAGGATCTGGGAGAGGGTGCAGACTCTGTCACCCTCCCTTGCCTCCCGATAGGCACTGCAGATGGGTTCTCCACCAGGAGCACAAGGGAGAAAGATTTTCTGCCTGTGACCCAGTTGCATGGTGCAGTTGGACATAACAGGCAGCAGCCATGTGCTGGGTTCTTCCTGCATGAGTCCAGGGAACTGCATGGCCAAGGAGGGTGTGGGAGGGTCTACAGGTTTGGGAAGGACTTGGACAAGCTCCTGAGCAGAAAGTGGTTCTGAAGACAGGGATTTGGGTCCTTCTGGGACCCACTCTGAGCCAGTGCCCCCTCTATGGTAGGCCTGGCCATTTCTGAACCCTACTTTCTCAGGGGACCCTTGGAAACAGCCAGCATGCTCAGGTGGGGCCAGACAGGGTTCCTCCATGTCCATGCTGTGTGGTCTTAGGGTTCATTATGATGGTCACTGCCTTGGCCTCCCCATCTGTGGCATGAGGACCAATGCCTTGCCCATGTGCTGAGGACCAGGTGCCCCACCTGATGGCACACATGGGTGCTAGGGGGACGAGACTCACTCACTGCATGGAGCATAACTCATGCTTTATCCCTCCACTCCTGCCAAAGACTTAGACCGCTGGAATTTTTCCAGAATTCATTGCATAATATTTAATAGTCGAAAACTAATTTAAGCTAAAAGCCTTCATCTAGTTAACAAGGGCAGTGGTTCTCAGGAGCCCAGTGGCTTTGGCACCAGCTCATGGGTCAGGAGCTTAGCAGCCCCAGTGTCTCACTCACTAACCCAAGTGGATCGGGCATGAGGTGACACAGCAGTTCAGCACCATTACACATTCTTGGGGCCTTGAGGGTCCTGATTCCTGGGAGAAGGTGGGGATAGTTCAATGATTCCAGCTGATTGCAGTTGGCATGGCTTTGCCAAATAGCAGTGCTGCACAGGTTTGCATGTTTCTCTTCAAATGAAACTGAGAGTTGAGCCCAGAGCAGTGTCATAAGTGCTTCTGGATACAGCAGATCTTTTCATAAGCACCATTATGTAGGGAGCTTGGCTGTCGGTCTGTGGGGTGAGGCCCTGCAGGGTCTGCTAGGTGACTCAGAGCTGTAGGGGTGTGTATATGTGTGCACAGCTGTGGAGGACTAGAACCTCTGCCCCAGACACCAGGAGACCAAAACCTAAGGGTGCTCATTTTATGTACAATGGTGTTGTGGTACCTAGGACCTTTGTACAGCCTCCCATGTGCTGTTGATCACTCTCCCCCTCACAGTATTGAACACTAAGGTCCTGCAGTGGGAATAGTGGTTGTGAATAGTCTTCCACATTCAGTACAGAGGCAGTTTTAAAAAACAGAAAAGATCTGGGAAGATGGTGGATTGATCGGTAGCAAAGTAGAGAGCCTCTTTCAGAGAAACAACTCAGAAGCTAGAATGTAACATCATGGAGAAGACCAGATGAAAGGAGAGGGGTTTTCATGACCCAGGAAGAAACAAGAAAAAAGAAAGAAAGAAAGAAAGAAAGAAAGAAAGAAAGAAAGAAAGAAAAGAAGGAAGGAAGGAAGGAAGGAAGGAAGGAAGGAAGGAAGGAAGGAAGGAAAGAAGGAAGGAAAAGCGTGGATGGAAGGCTGGAACTGACATGTGCTCACTGGAGCTGAGCCCACGCTGTACTGGGCACCTTGGATCCAGATGACTTGCAGTCGCGCTGAGGTCTCAGTAGCACTGGAATCGGGAGTTGGTGAGCCCAAGGCCCTTGGTGGGAGGATGCACCAAAACGGAGAATGGAATCAGCATGGAGAGCTGCATTAACCTGCAGTGAGTGCTAGGAATTTGGTCCTGCAGAGAGGGTGACTGGCTGGATGACATATTGGGCAGGATGAGCCTGAACCTGGAACCACAGTGGCATCAGTTAGCCGCCCCTGGCCCAAAGAGGACTGGTGGGAACTGCTTGGGCTGGGTCATGCCCCTGGTCAGGACCCAATAGCCAGGATGAAACTGTCCCAAGCCTGTGACATCCACACAGCACAGACTAACGTGGTGAAGGCACTTGCTGGTTGACTGGCTAAGAGGAGAAGGGCCAGTCCACATCGTGCACCTCACAGATCAACAGTAACCTGGAGAGGGCAGCAATCCCCTAGCCAGCACACTTCAGAAGAACAATAAGCAATACGGAAAGGACCTGACATCTCCACTATACACCTGTCTGAAAGAAACCAGATGCATGACAAGAGAAAGAAACAAGAAAAAGCCTCCAGCAGACAATCCAGGGAAAATAAGTCCAGGAGAGGTAAATACAGAAGCGATCAAAGGCAGCAAATATGCAATATCAGACATGGCATCAGCGGACATAAAGAAATACCTGTGTGAGATCATAGATGAACTTAAAACTGAAAGTCTCATTCAAGTAAAGCAGGATATAAGGAGACTAATAAAAGAAATGCTAAGCACCTCTCAAGAAGACACAGATGGAAGAATGAAGGAACACAGAAAAAGGAGAGAAACCTTCAATGAAGAATATGTAAAAATCTAGAATTCATGAAACAGATCCAAAGGGATTACCAGTAAATTAAAAACTCCATTGAAAGCTGGTAAAATTCCTTGACAGAAACTGAAGTTAGACTTTCAAAACTTGAAGATAGGTTTTCAATGTGTGATCATGAAAGGAAAGATTTCTTAAAAACAACAAGGAACCAGGAAGTAGCAATACAAAGGCTAGAAGACAACAAGAGGATCTATAACTTAGGAATAAAAAATGTGAGTGAAGAAGCAGGAGTAAACACAAATGAAATACAAAGTCTATTCACAGAAACAATTAGGGAAAACTTCCCAAGCATAGGAAAAGGAAATGATATTCAGATATATGAGGCATGCAGAACTCCAGCCTGCTGCAATCAAAACAGATCTACACCCAGACATACAATAATCAAGATCCCAGAAATTTATTCCAGAAACAGAATATTAAAATCTGTCAGAGAAAAGAAGCAGATCACCTATAAAGGAAAACCCATCAAAATCACAATAGACTTCTTGACACAAACCATCAAATCAAGAAGAGCTTGGAGTAAACTATTCCAAGCCCTGAAAGAAAATAATCTCTAACCCAGATTGATGTACCCTACAAAACTGTCTCTCAAAGTTAATAGAGAAACAAGATGCTTCCATGACAAAGAGGAACTGGGGGAGTTAGTGACCACCAATCTAACCTTACAAAAGTTACTGAAGGACATTCTAGAGAGAGAGAAAAAATTTGCCAGGCTTCCAGGAACAGTGGCAGAGAGACCTCAATGAATGGGGCAGACTGTGGAATAAAGGAGAAAATTGGACAACCAGTGGCAGAAAAATAGCATAGCAGAGATGAAGCAGAGAAGATTGGCTGCAATCTCTAACACAGATGGCCTTGATATACTAACAAAAAGAAACACAGGCAGAGTAAATCAGGAGATAGGGTCCATCAAGATGCTCTGAATAGGAAATATAATCAAAGAGGATTTATGAACTGAAAGTCAAAGATGAGAAAACAATGCTCTATGTGACAGGGAACCAGAGAGAAATGGGGGTAGCTCGTCCAGCAGCTGCAGACAGGTTGGAAAGACATGACACTTTTGTGCAGTGGAGAACCAGTCAGTTATAAGAAAAGAAAACCTTGAGGCTTTAGTAGGTAAAGGAATACAACTCAAGATTAAGCTCAGGGGTAAAAAGGGTCAGAACTACTTAGGTAGATGGCAGGTTGCCCCACTAATCTAAAAGCTAAAGGAGTTAGTGGGACCCAAAATGTACAAAGCACCTTGTGAAATTGAAAGGGGAGGAACTGTCTTTAAAAAAAAGGAAGGCAGAGGACATTGTTAATAGTGCATCAAGTTTAAAATCCACATTATTCTTATCACTCTGTTTCGTTTGATTTTATTCTGTTACAGTCTGTTTACTTGTATTAGATTTGAGAACACAGACAGCTATTCCAAAAATATACAGTAACTACCTTTAATTTCCTATTAACTTAAACTGAAGCCCTGTATTATTTACATTGTCTTACTATGACTGATCTTATTTGAATCTGGTTTGTTAGATTGTTTTGTCTGAACTGGTTTTTTTTGAATCTGATATGCTTGATAGTATCAAGTCTGAGAGTAGAGGCAACTACTTTGAAGACGACAAGATTCAATAGGATACCGATTCCAGTTTGATTATTAATTGATTTTGAAGTCCTATAATCTCTCCAATGTTTTGTCTTTAATATTGCTATGTAGTGCTATATTCAATTGTACTATGCAATTCTATTGAAAATAGCAAGGGACATCATAGTAACTAATGTAGATCACCTAGTATTGTGGTCTTATATCTTTTTTGTCTTTCTGGGAATTTGTTTTGTTTTGATTTGTTTTTCCCTTTAATACAGAAAGGTTAGGTATACGTGTAGAGACTCATGCATGTGTAGAACTTCTAAACAGTTTACAAGAATTGATTATACAATGCATGGTGTAATGAACAGATACTTTGAAGAAAAAGAGACACTAAGGTACCCAGTGCTAATTCCATAGCATTGTGATATAAAACCTAGCAATACTATTATTCTTTGTTCAGAGTGATATTAGTTCTTTTTTGTTTTGTTACGTGTTTCAATATATGTGAAGGTATGGACAGCTGTTTTGAAGAGCACGAGAGACATTATGGTAGCCATTGTTGATTTCCCGATTGTCTGGTCTTGAAGACCTAAAATGCCTTCATCATCCTGTTCTGATCAGTTTAATACTATTTTGTTTGGTATGAATTCACTGTGTGTGAAGATATGGACAACTATTTGGAAGAAAACAAGAGACAATATGGTAGACAGTGAAGATCTCTGGTGGTCTTGCTTTGAAATCTGTGTTTCTTAAGTTCTTTTCTTATGACCTGCTTTGTTCTGTTTTGTTATGTTTAATTTTACCCTCTTTAAAATAAAATAAAACCAAAAGTACACACACACAAAAATCCCATGAGGTTGAACCGCTGATGCAGAAGTGAGAAGTGACAGGTGTGAAAAGCTGAATCACAAGCCCTGTTAACAATACAAGGTGGTGAGGGCCATGGGACACAGGTGACAGTGACAGGTGTGGCCAGAAGAGGAGCGTGTATCATTAGCACTCGGGGTTGCATAAGAATTCTTCCCCGTGCTTACCCTGCTTCTGTGAGTCTGTGCATGCCTGGTGGTGGTGAGGATTAGGGGGCACAGCTGCATGTGACACCCAAATGCCACCAGGTTGAGAGGATGTGAGAGGCTGGGCCAAGGTGTTCAGGAAGAGGATGGATGGTGTCTGCACCCAGGCAGGGCAGCCAGAGCTTCCAAGTGCTTCTGAGGAGTTTGGAATTTTACGTGGCTCTCCTTGGTGGACCCCATCATGATGAGCGCAGTTCTGTGCAGGAAGAGGGAGCAGGGGTGCCACACATACAGTGTGCACCTCTGGGCAGGCTGCCAGGTGTCCACTGCCCTATGTTCTCCCCAACAGGGAGGCCTTTGGGGATGAGGATTAGCTGAACTCCTTCTGCTCTCCTCGAGGACCACATCTCTTGCCTCGAGAAGGGTGCCAGACTGTGTTCAGGAGGATTCACAGTGCAACAGTCATCTCCATGTGGCCAAACAGAAGACCGTTCCTCTTCCAGAAATACGAGCCGATTTGCCAGCCTTTGGCATATTTCTCTGTGACTGGGGGCTCTCACTGAAGTGCTGCGACTGAGAACAGGTACGGACAGAGGCCCCTGAGAAACCAAGATGACTCACCTGGAAAGATGTCTTTTGCTGCAGGATGGCGAGCCGGGCCCCTGGAGGCAGAGCTGGAGCACAGCCTCTCCCACAGGGGCAGAGATGCCCTGTGTCAGGCTCCAGTCAGCACCTTACCCTCTATGTGCTCAAGCCGCCTTCCTGTTCTCAGCAGCCAAGATCATTCTGCTCAAATAATCCAAGATACCCATATGCATTTCCTGAACGTCATTGGCTCTAGTATGGAGAAGCAACAGTGGGGTGAATTACAGGCAGAGAATTCACTCCAAGCCAGCCTCTGCTGAAATCCTGGGCCTACCATTAGGAAAGCTGCCCATAATGTTTACTGAAAAACAGAAAACAGTTCTCAAGGCCTTCGGAGGAGGATATGTAAAGAGACGGAAATGGAGAGATATGTACTTATTAGGGTGTTCTGAATATGCTTGCAATAGCAAACGCCGGACCTTTGGGGAAAGTTCTTACTCAGGGCGACAGGAGCATCCTGCGGTTTTAGTCTCTCTCATTCCACTTGCTTTGGTCCTCATGGGGCCTCCGGTTTCCGTCCCTGAATCTACTGCCATGCAGATTTAACCACCAGCAGAGGCCCCTCAGGACCTTGCATTAATGAAATGTTCTCCAGGAAAACAGTGTCAGAACACAAACAAACAGTGCTGGGCATGCCCTCGCCAGCCGCCACTAACCTCCTGTGTGATCTCTGGCTTCTGTTCAGTAATTGCATTTATTTTGACTTCATTTAAAAAATGCAAGCAATGGAATTCCACTTGGTTTCAAGTTCAAAGGTTTACAGCCCAGAGACAGCAAAGAGTGGGGTGGTGGTGTTCCTGTCACTGGTCAGAAGCCCTGTCAGTGCAAGAGGTTTGCCTGCCGAGGAGCTAAGAGTTGCCCCTCATATTTTCTTAGCAGTTTACCAACAGTTTACAACACTCTTCACAATTATTTTTCTCCTAGAGCTTTGCACTCACTGTGTAGCTGGTTGCAATGTTTTTTAGGTCTCCAGTCTCATTTTCCCAGACTTTGAGAGAATGAAGATAAAGTGCTTCAGAAGCTGCGCAGATGGAAATTGCAGCCTTTCACATAAGAAGCACCCATGAGCTTAGAGCCCCATCTCATGCCGGGTCCACAACACACAGGTGCTGCCTGTTAGGTCCCAGGGTTTCAGCCACAAAGGACCTATCAGGGAGGCGCAGCTTACAGCTTCACTGCACACAGGAGTGCTCTAGCCCAGTTGGGAAATCACAGTGTGGGAAGCACTGTTACCAGATGCAGCTTATAATCCTTCCAAGGCGGTCAGAGCCCCATCGCCAGGTGTCTCTATGGCCTGTGCCCTCTGGGTCTCCACCACCAGGAGAGTGGCACGCCGGGCAGGATTCTGACAAGGGATGGAACTCTGAATTATCCCCCAAAGCTCACCAGATGATAAAACCACATAAAATTGCTACTGAACTGCCACGGAGAGATGAGAACACTAAGGTACAGGCGGTTGCCCCTAGACAAAGTGAGGATAACTACATATGAGCTGGATGCTGCACAGGGGTGACCAAATGGTCCAGCCTGTGGTTCAATCAGTGAACCAGGTGATGAGACGTAGCCCAAGAGAAGAACAGGGCTGGAGCTGACTGTGCACTTGAGGGAGGACTAGAGGTGCAGAGTGAGCCAATGCAGGCTGCACACAGAGCTTTTGTTGTGGGACACGGTGTTGCCAGAGCTGGTGGGTGATGTGGACGAGTGCTGTAAACATCTCTGTACCCCAGCTGCCAGCACAGCGCCAGGCTTGGAGGGTGCCGATCATGCAGGCCATCTGGGAGCTCCACTGTTGGTTCTGGGCTTCTTAGTGGCAGGACTTTGAGGTCACAGGGTCCTCCCCCTCAGAAGCACTGTGGGTTCCAGGCATTGCTCAGGATGCCCACCTCACTGACGCCCTCGGTGATAGTCACTCTGTATCGATCCTGCCTTCATAATCATGCTCTTCTTGAAAGTGCTCCTGTTATACCAGGAGTTGGAAGCAGAGGCCCTCCTGGCTGACCCCAATGGGTTTCCTGCTTTTAGTACTTTCAGGAGAGGCTGTGGCCTTCAGTGTGACATCTGTGACTGTTTTATATTTCTTCTACTTACTGTCATCAGAAGAGGGCAAGAAAAATCATGTCCTTCATGGTCCAGATTGAAAAAAATACTTATCCAGATCAGGTGTGATGCAAGCACTGAATCACAGCTTCATATAAATGGGGCCGTATCTGGAATGATGCTTTTCTTCGAAATTAATGGTTGTGTGAGAGATGAAGTGATGTCATGGTCATCTGCGTGAATTGTCATTGTTCTCTCCCCAGGAAGCTTCTGGAAACAACTCACTGAGCCCAGCCTGGTGCCTTCTTTCCTACTCAAGCTGACACTTTTGTAATCCTCTCTGCCACGGAATTTTCAAACAGCAACTCAGGTAAATGTGAGGGCTAGTGTTTCAGGAAAATAAAATTGATCACAATTGCATGGGATATACTTGGCTAGTGTAAACAAAGAGAAAAAAAGAGACAGGCAGACAGACAGAGAGAGAGAGAGAGAGAGAGAGAGAGACAGGAAGAGGAGGCATAATGATAAAACACTAAGCAGCAGAGAGTAGCAAACTATTTAAGATGCAGGCCTCAAATTTTTTAAGAAAATATTAAGAATAAATCCACATTACTGTTTTTTAAAATGTCTGTGAAATAAACTATTTGCTATATGAATAAAAATTCCAAGATTAACTAAAGAATCATGACACATGAATGGAATGATGGTCTAGAGATAGAGGGTCCAGGAAGATGGGAAGGTTATCTCTGCAGTATTGGTAAGTTTTAAATGCTGGCAATGTTCAAATGATCTTTAACAAATTGTTCTGGAGAATTTGGAAATGTGAAAATCTTCCCTGTTGCCTTTCCATGTTAGCATAGCTGTGACATCTAAACCTGAGGTAGAAAACACAGATCAGGTTGGGTTTTCCTCAGCAATGATTGGTGGGGCACATATAAGACCAGCAGCAGGCACTCAGCAGTGTTTTGCAGACTGGCTGTCCATGCGTCATTCTTCAGCAGGGATGGTTGGCAGGTGAAAGGTAAACCCAACAGCATAACCATTAAGAGGAACTGGCAAAAGGGAGATGATACTCATTCGTTTCAAAACCTGTCAAGGACACTCAAGAGATTTCAACACAGATTCTTATGAAGATTGGAGAAAACTCAGCCACACGAGTGACAATGAATATTTAACAAGACCTGAAACACAGGGAACATGTCATGGAGCAGGTCCTGTAGGGTCCTTTTGCAATCAGACACAGGGAGGGGGTCCAGTGCGGTTTTCTGTCCTTGCGGAAGTCTTGTCCACTACGCTAAGGTGTCGCTGTCCCTGGGCATGACCAGAGTGGTCCCCTGGGAGAAGGCAAGGCCTCAACTTGCCCTGGTGATGGGGTCATTTCTGGACTTGTCACAGAAAATCTTCTCAGGGTATGACAGTGAGTGCCAGAGGCGGGTGAAGGAAAAACACACTCTAAGAACGTGGGGTCTGGAGTGTTGTGGGGTGTCTAGGATGTGTCCCTGTGTCCCTCAGACACCCATCTGGTGGGGGGTGGAAACTGCAGACCAGCTTGATGTATCAGGAAGCCCGGGCCCAGTCCCCAACCTCATTGTGTCTTTAAGACTCAGGAGTTGTTTTCACAGTGATTTTCCTAGTAGACAAAAAAGCATCGTGCTCTTGGATAACTTGGTGTCCTGAAGCTGCAACTTTGCTTGAAAGTACAATTTTGAAGGTAAGATGTGTCCTTGTCTCCTTTATGGTCACCTTATTTTCCTGCCCCACCCTAAGAACTGTGGCCCTAACTAAGCATGCAAAGGCCAGGGTGTTGGCCAGGTGGCCAAGTCGATGGCAGTGGTCTCGTGGTGGTGGCAGGCAAGGAAAGTTAGTGGGTCACGTGCCTTTTGATCCTGTGTGTGGGGTTGAATTTTGCACCCCCAGTGAATGTGTGAAGTCCTGATGCTCAGGACTTCAGAATCTGACTGGGCTTGGAGTCAAGATCTCAAAAGAGGTAATGCAGGTACAATGGGTCGTGATGCTGGGTCCTAACCAGCATGACCGGTGTCCTATAAGAGGAGGAGATCCAGACACAGAGCACCACGTGGAGGGTGACCCTAGGAAGACACAGGGGAAGATGCAAGCCGGGAAAGAGGGCTCAGAAGCAGCCAGTGCTGCCACTCTCAGATCTTAGGGTTCTTGTCTCCATAATGCTGTGAAGTAACATGTCACTAGTGTCACTCAGCTCTCAGTCCCTATCATGGCACCCATCCCTTCTCCACTGTCCCTGAGCCATAGTTAGTGCCTGGCATCTGGACTCCAGCTGTTCAATCCCAATGCAGACACCCATGTCTGGTGACCTCTCTGCTGTGGGGACATCTAGTGACACAGGGCAGTGAAACCTGGGCACAGCCACTGGGCTGGCCCAAGCATCATCTGTTATAAAACTGTGAAGTGAGGCTGTGTGCCTTGGCTGAGGACCACAATGGTCACCACTGAGAAACTGGCTTTTCTTTTCAAGTCCAATAACCTCTGAACTTGCAGAATCTCTCTCTCATTCTCTTTCTCTCATTCTCTCCTCCCCTTCTAGCTCCCTGCCCTTTGTCTCTGGTGACTGCTGTCTGACCTGCAGCTGCTTCCCCTTCCCAAGTCCGTGAGGTCATTCTTGGAACCGGCGTCCATCTCCCCAGTGGCCCCATAAAGTGGGCTCCTTCAGCCTCTCCAAGGTCCGAGCCTCCTGCCTGCTGGACCCACACCAGGCTGCACACTAATGGCGTCGGCAGGCACAAGACGTATTTCTTAGTACTCTGACTAAGGCGCTGAGACCACGTTGCTCTAATGAGGAGCAGATGAGCGGCACACAGGGAGCGGCACACAGATGAGCGTAGCCAGAAATCCAGGGAAGCTGAGAGAGAGAGGAAAACACCAATATTGCCAAATCCCCTGGAGCTGCAGTTCACACACATTTCATTCAGCTATGGCCTGCATGCTGGTAACTCAGTGACAGTGCCCCACTGGAGTGCAGACCATGTTCGGCTGAAAAAGAAACCAGTGCCATGGAGCATTTGTCACTGTGGGACACTAGAGTCTGTCTCATTGTCTGGGAGCTGAAGAACTACACTCCATGAACGTTGCTGTCATCCAAACCAAAGCTGTGACTCACTGCCCTGTGGGAGCTGGGTGGGACAGGAGGCAGCAAGAATCCTACAGTGTGATGTCTCTGTTCAAATACTGTCACATACAATTGCTCTGCCACGAGGGCTGGTGCTGGGGACACACGGCAGACACATGGGCAGCAAGCTTAGAGTAGTCCCTGCAACTGTGCAAGCGCTGGGGAAACCAAAGACCCCAGCTGGAAGCCACTGAGCTCCTGTCACCTCTTCTTGTGCAGGGGACAGGGCAGCCTCCGGGGTCCACAGTGATGAGCACACACCAGATCCAGGCATTCACACCCAGCCCCATCCCATGAGGAGCAGGAGAAGGGGCACTGGAGACCTACGGCTGCCTTTTCCCAGGCTGCACTAGGCTCCTCCTATGCTTGAATAACCTGCACCTCAGTCCGCTGCCCTCAGCTCTGGAATGCGTGCCTGCAAATCCATAGACGTTGGCATAATGGGAGCTGAAAATATTATTTAAAGAGTATACATACTCTGAGCATCTTTAAAGCCTCCAGATCATTTTCTCTTATTTTTTAGTCTTTTTATTCTGTCATCAAATGAAATTGATTTATTAAGGAAATTAGAAAAATACAGAAAAGCAAAAGAATAACAACAAAACTCTCCAATCCACTCACAGTGGGACACATATGCCTTCCTCATGAAAACTAAATTAGACAAATCACACTGTTTGTCTGAGAAGCTGTCCCTGAAAAGCTTCAGCTGAGCTTGTTCTAGTGTCTGGCTGCTGCCTGCAGAGTGGAGAGAGCAGGCTGAAACGCGGTCTCCCTTTCAGACATGAGAATGAGTTCCAGGAAAACTTTCTTTCTTGGAGAATGCCATGGCGTGAAATACGCATTTGGTCTTCTTCCTGCTTCTGGGCATGCAACGCCTGACATTTTTGGGATCTTTAAAGAGATATGTGGTGAGGCCAGTGGCCTGGGTGGTTTGGGATGGGGCCAGGACACTCTCAGGGCTGTAATTGCACCTGCAGAGTGTGGCGGTGGGGTGGGGTTCATTTGAGGGACAGAGTCCTCAGCCTGTGGCGCATCTGGTGCCATCACTGGGGTGGGGTTTGGAGGGGAACAGGGTGAAAGTGGAATTGAATTACAGGGCACACAGCTGCTGTCCACATTGAGATGTGTGGGGAAACCGCAGATCCGAGGTCACAGAAGTATTGTGTGCTGCAAGTACAGGAGAATTAAGTTTGTTTCTACATTTTCAGAGAGGGAGAGAAGAGAGACTAAGGTTTACAAAGCACCCCACCAGGGTGCATTCAAAATTGCTCCATAGGTAGATGTTTGATTTTTGACCCAGAAGCTGTTTGACCAAATTGCCATGTTTTCTCGCTTGAACGTGGGCCAGTTCATGCTGGGCTGACCTACCCACACCTCGGTGATGCCAGAGTGTTGTGCAGTATGACCAGGGGATACTTGGGGTTTTGTGAAGTGCTGGGTATGGACCCCTGCTGGGCACAGACTCTGCTGCTGAGCTGCATCCCAGCCCTTTCTTATTTAACTCTGTGGCTCTGTCTTCCTACGTGGGCCAGGCCGGCTTTGGCCATCATCCTGTATCAAAGGATCACAAGCTGGGGACATGGCTGAATGCTACTGCCAGCGGGACTTAGTCACTTTCTATCTGGGTACTGTTCCCCTTCTTCAAAGCCTCAAGCCTCACCACTCACTTTGTTTCTGGCTTCTCTCTCAGCTGCTTTTAAACCTCCTCACCTGAGCCTAGGGATGTTTGTGAAGTGTCTGGCCACCCCCAGCCTCTCCAGGCTGTACCTGCCACCGTTTCTCAGTCTTTTATCCAGGAATAAGTACAGAGCTCACATTTTTATCTTACTTTATTTTCATTTGTAGGACCTTGTGCATGCTAGCCTAGGGCTCAGCCCTGACCTCCAGCCCTGGCCCCAGCAAGGGCACTTTCAGTCTCTTTTGGAATTTATTTAGACGGTGAGGTGAGCCCCTTCACCCCGCCCAGGAGTTGAGGGTGCCAAGGGCAGAGCCTGTGTGTGACCTCGAGTGGAGGGAGGAGGAGGCAGAACCTGTCAGCACACTGCGGTTTCTGCACAGAGCTGTTGGCTCGAGGCACAGCTCTGTCGGATGCTGAGGGAAAGCTGTAAAACTGGGCACAGAACTGAAAACAAGCTGCCATTCCAAATTCTATTAATGCAAATTCTTTCACAAGCCTTACATTTATGAATGTAAATAACATTCTTCTGGGCAACACAGCTATTATCAAGAAGTTGAGAAAAAACACTTCCACTGGCAAAGCAGGGTATGTTTTGGAGTCTCGGTGCAGAATGATTTACAGGGCCTGTGGCCAATGTGGCTTGTGTGTCTGAGCGAGGTTCCTGGTCAGGACTGGAAATGGCCAGTGCCACTGGAGACAGTGGTTTGGGACCTTAGCAGGAAGGGGGCTGTTCATGCTCCCTAAACCATGTCACAAATGCATGGGCACAGTCAGCACTGTTCTGGAGGCCTAGGCATGGAGAGGATGAGGACCCTGCCCACCATGCTAGCTGTTTCCTGGAGCTGGGTCCCTGGCCCTCAGACCTTGCCTTCCCTGTGGCCCAGTGCTGTCCTCTGGGGTCAGCCAGGAAAGGTGCTCCATTCAGATCTGATGCATAGAACAAAATGACTGGATTATCGAATGTGCTGTGTCCTTCTTGCCCTGTGTGAGCTCACTGGCTGCCTTGAATGCCCTCCTCTGAGTACAATAGGTAGCTCAGTCATTGGTCTGGGTGCCCTACCTGCACCACAAGCTGCCAGCCCACCTACACCTCCATCTGTGACTTGGGACAGCAGCATGGGTGCGGCCACACATGGCCCATGGAGGCAGTATCAGCCCACTTCCTGGTCAGGTCCAGGCACTGGTGAGAGAGGAGAGGTTTGGTGTAGCAGGTTGGAGCAGTCTCAGGAACAGAGGTACAGATATGACCACCTGCACTGATCCCAGCAATGGGCATTGAGGGAAAGGGGTTCTGGTAGATAGTGGTGGGGACCCGAGAGAAGTGTGCATCCCTCTCTCCTGTGCTCTCCTCTCCTCCAGGCCTCAGCGTCTGCCTGTGTGCTCCATCACAGAGAAATCGCTAGCCTCCCATCCTTCTTCAAAGCCATAAGCCTCAGCATTCATTGCAGGGAAAAAGACAAGACTGTCCTGCCTTTGGGGGTGTGAGTGTGGGGGTGTACACAAGGCTTTGCACAAGGCAGCAGCAGACACAGGTGCATGTTAGGATGACAAGTCTGATGGATGTTACTGCAGCGGCAAGCAAAAGCACTGAAACCCAGGATTTGGAGGCTGATTCATTTTATGTCGATGGGCACTGATTGAGATCACTCTCAAAATGTCAGGCCCAGGTCTCTGGTGGTCTAGGGCTGATATGAGACAAACAAACAGGAAATACAGAGGCAGAATGACTTGTCAATTGGGGATTGGTTTATACAACATGCATCATAATGACTAGCTATGCCTCTCAGTGACCAGCTGTTTCTAAGAGACAGGAGCAACCGGAACTGGAACAGGAACTATCTATTTCCCAGGCAACCAAGAATCTGAAGTGTACTGGCTGGCAATGTGTAGGGACACAGTTTTGGTTATATTTCCCTCCCCTATTAGTTCCCCTGACAAATCTTTGCTGCATATTACATGTGATCTTCTGAGACAAGGCCTGAGTAGAAGCAGTCAGTGACCCTAGGATGAGCCCTAGCCAAGCTCCCCAAGTTTTCCCCTAACTTATTTTTAGAAAAGGATACAATGTAGGCCAGTCTGTTTTGTAACAGTACTCTGGCAAGGGAGTGCAGGAGTTAATCTAACCTAGGAGAGTGTTCAATGAGTCTTAAACACTCTTCAAATCTTGGTCAAATGTTTGATCGATTGTTCTATTCTCTTGGAGCAACTACCAAACCACAGCTAACAGAGATGCAGGGAGGCAAGGACTGGAGTAAGCAGCCTGAAAAGGCCCAAAAATCAAAGGGAGTAATGCATCGCAGCATAGAGCAATTCTGTGAATGGGTTTTCAGGCTTCAGCCATGCATGGACTGGATAGCTCTGGAATGACCATAGTGGGGCTTTGAGTGAGTCGTCTCTTCAGAATGAGCTGTTTGGTCCAGGTAAATTCTCCAGTGATTCTAAGGTTGAATTTCTGAAATATATAGAGGTAGTTAATATGTACCTGGTTTATACATGTGCAGGGATGCCTATCAAGTAGCTGGTATTTTAACCAGTTACAAGCTGTTTCTGTAGGCTCAGGTTTTAATTCTATATATCTTTAAATGGGGAGGATTCAGTAGAGTACATGAGGTCAGGGACAGTGACACAGACGCTGAAGCTTGAGCTGGCTGCTGGGGTATGGGAGCCAGCGCTGTGGCTTGATCTTGCAGAACAAGCAGTGGGGGAAGGTCTAGCTCTGATCTTCCGGGAATAATGGGTACAAATTTCTGGCTGTGGTTGATGTTTCAGTCAACTGGATACCCAGAGGGGGCTCAGGTCTCTGGACCAGATTATTTTGTGTTGTTGGTGGCAGGTTTCCAAACAGCAGCAGGAAGCAGTTTGTTGTGCAGATCATCCCTGCAGCAGAGTTTTGGCTGAAATAGTTTCATCTAAGGGGACCACAACATATCTAGACTGCTGGAATTCATTCCTAACAGAGCTACTTCCATCTGTAAACAGAGTGCACTCAGCATCTGTCAGGGGGTCCATATTTTAGAATAGTTCATCCCATTACAGCCTATGACACCTGGACAGTCAGGTCCTGTTTTATGTGAGTTTGTCAGCATTCTTGATCAGAAGGACAGTGGCTGTCAGAGCGCAGAGGCAAAGGGAGAGGCAGCTCTTAGTGATCAGATCCAATATGTGCACAAGTAGGCCACTAGGCCCTCCCAGGGGTTGACAATCTGAGTAAGTATCTTTGTTTTTGTGAACTCAAGGATCCAGATTTATAGAACTCAGCAGCTCCAAGAAACTTGAGGAGGTTTTCTTGGGAACCAGTTTCTAACAGATATTGCAGCAGAGTTTTTGTGCCTTTCTAGCAGGAGCTTGCAAGTATCATTAGTCAGAAGTGCTTTTTTAAAGAGGGAACACGTTTTTGAACATCTAGAGGTTGATTTCAGGTCAGTTGTGAAAAAGGCTGGCTGACAGGAGCCAATTGAAGGCAGAAAAGACCATTTTTTAATCCAGGCAGGAGTACCAGCAGGCTATGTGTGGCAGAAGAGCTGAGACAATGTATAGAGAGGGCCGTTATCTTGAACTGGCTTTACAGGCAGGGAAGGGATATTTTAGTAGTTTGACACTCTGTACTAAACAGTACAAGGGACTGTAACAAAGTTGCTCAAGGGACAGTAACAAAGTTGCAAGTGACAGAGAAACCTTGGAGAAAAGGTACTTGTAGCTTGGCCAAATCTGTTGTTAGAGCCTCCTTGAAAATAATGGGAGAGTTCTAAATCCCATGTGGTAATTGAGTCCCAAGGAACTGGCCTTTTATCTCAGGATCTTCCCAGTTGAAGGGGCTTATGAATGTAACTCTCAAGAAGAGAATTAAATCTAGAACAGTCTAAAGAGGGTGTATGGGTCAGGAACCACAACGTGAAAGGTGATGGCTGCATTGCTGATGCAGATCTTGCCCAAGGCGATTAACAGTCTATGAGGCAGATGTGTGAGTGGATGCCTGTTTGTGTTTCCTGTGA